AATTAATAATTAGTTAATGCTTCAGTTTTGCAATAGCTAGAACCACTTGGAAAGCTTGTAAATACTTATCTTCGGTAGGATTTCTATAATCGAAAAGTAATATGTATATAGGAAATAAATAATTAAAGAAAAAATTATATAAGCAAGTAATAGTGCGACGGTTAGAGCTAACTAATATACCAAATGTCAGATGCTTACCCAGAATATATAGAAGAATTTAGTATAGAGATATCTGATTTCAATCCAATTGGCCCTACTGCCCATATACCATTACCTGAAACTTTGCCAAAACGTAATAACGGAATTATAAATATTCAAAATGATGATGACTGGTGTTTCGGCTGGAGTGTCCTAGGAGCTTTGCATCCAGTTAAAGTTCATCCAGAAAGAAATCCATATCGGCTATATGGAGGTTTTATAGAGGAACTTAACATGGATGACATTCCAGTTCCAGTACCTGTCTCAACACCAGTTTATGAGAAGTTCGAAGAAAATAATCCAGAGATTAGTCTATGTGTCTATGAGTGGCATAACCAAAATGAATGTCTTGAATTTCGCTATGTTTCAGAAAGAAGAGGGGATGAATATAAGCAAGTAAATCTTCTAGTAATTACGGAAGAAGAAAGAAGTCACTACTGTATTATCAAAGATTTACATAAACTAGTATACAATCATAGCAAACATAAAGGGCGAAAATACCTCTGTCGTTATTGCCTTCATGTATACTCTTCAGAGATAAGATATAATGAACATTTGCCAAAATGCAAGGGTCTAAATAATGCCTCCCAGCGACCGCAAATGCCAGTAAAAAATAGGAGTGTCAAAGCTTTCTATAATCATAAATGCATGCAACCAAATCCATATCGCATTTTCTGGGATCTAGAAATGTTAACCGAAAAGTTAACTCCAGAAGAGAAGACGAAGTTAACCCATACCGAAAGATTACAGATGCATAAGCCGTGTGGCTATTGTTATGTAGTTGTTCGTATGGATAGTTCACTTAACTATGAAATCATAAGTCATGATTTATATAGGGGTCCAGATGCGCTTGAAAAATTCGTTGAAAAAATCGAGGAGGAGCTAGCAAACATACAGGAGGACTTATCTGCGCCTGCAGAAATGATAATGTCACCAGGAGATCTTAAAGCATACAATGAAGCGACAGAATACTGGATTTGCAAGGGACCTTTCTTAAAACCAGCACCAGAGGTAGTACAAAAACTCGAAGAAGCAAAGCATAACCTATTAGAAATCAAAGAATGGGAATCATGCATGAAAAAGGAACATCCTAAAAAGAAAGAGGCACAGAAAAAATACCGAGAAGCTTTAAGTGGGCTTAATCGAAAAGTAAAAGATCATGATCATATAAATGGAAACTACCGAGGCCCAGCTCATGACTCATGTAATAAAAAGTTACGCATAGGCTCTTTCAAAACCAAAGTACCACTTATCTGCCATAATTTCCGTGGGTATGATTCCCATCCGCTTATGAAAGTTGTGAGCAAATTCACGGCTGATAAGCTAAATTGCATTCCAGAAAATATTGGAAAGTATAAGGCCATGGATGTAGGTCAACTCCGATTTCTTGACAGCTTTCAGCATATGGCAATGGGATTAGATAAGTTAGTAGCATGTCTAGGAGAAAACCCAGAAAAGTTCCCCCTAACTGTCAAGCACTTTACTGCAAAAGGTTATTCGATAGAAAAGATTAAACTTCTTTTCCGAAAGGGTGTATTTCCATATGATTGGACAAATGCATGGGAAAAATTTGACAGAACAAGCCTCCCGCCTAGAAAGGAATTCTATTCAATTCTTAGTCAGCAAAATATAAGCAAAGAGGATTATAAATATGCACAAAAAATATGGCAAACATTCGAGATGCAGAGCTTTGGAGACTATCATGATCTTTACCTTGAGACAGACGTACTCTTACTAGCTGATGTATTCATGAACTATACCATTATGTGTCTACAAGATGATGGCTTAGACCCTTCCCACTACGTCTCAGCACCAGGAATGTTCAATGATTCATTATATAAGAGCAGTGGAGTCGAACTCAAGCTCATGACAGATATGGACGAATATCTGATGGTTGAAAATGGTATCCGTGGAGGAATGACAATGGCAAGTCACCGATATGCCAAAGCTAATAATCCGAAATGTCCAGATTACGATTCTAGTAAGCCTACAACTTGGACATTATATGAGGATATGAATGCTTTATATTCAGGTGTGATGACCCAATACATGCCTACAGAAATTTTGGGTAAAGTGAGTCCAGGGGAAGTACCAGATATCCAAAGTATCGCGCCTGATGCAGAAATAGGCTATATGCTTGAAATTGATCTAGAAGCTCCAGTGCACTTGCACGATTACTTTGCAGATTATCCTTTAGCGCCAGAAAAGCAGATAGTTCCAGAAAAATGGCTTAGCTTGTATAATGAAAGATTAGTGCATGATAAAGAAGTTGAGGGCGGAAAATATACAACAGGAGAAAAGCTCGTTCAAACCCTTTATCCCAAAAAGAACTACGTAGTCCATTATCGTGCACTCCAGTTATACATGAAATTGGGGATGAAGGTTACAAAGATTCATGGTGCTCTTAAATTTTGGCAGTCTCCATGGATGAAAGACTATATTGAGGAAAACATTCACAAGCGTAAAATTGCTAAAGCTAATGGGGATGAATTTGGGATCATGTATTATAAGCTAAAGAACAATGCAGTCTTTGGCAAACAAATGGAAAATGTTCGTAAACATATGAGAGTAGAATTACTCCGAACAGAAGAGGATAAAAAAATCAGGCGCCTAGCAAGTTCACCATTGTATGTAGGCTTTAAAGCATTCGAAGGGGGAATTACAGCAGTACATATGTTAAAAAGTACAGTAACTCTAAATAAACCAATCTATGTAGGGCAGGCAATTCTCGACATTAGCAAGGCTATGATGTTCAACTTTTGGTACGGTTACATAAAGCCTCGCTATGGTGATAAGGCCCGTCTACTTTATACAGATACAGACTCACTCATAATGTGGATAGAAACTGAAGACATATATAAAGATCGAGCAGAAAGACCAGATATTTTCGATCTTAACTATTCAGGAGACTTATTTCTAATGAAGGATGAGACAAAGGGGGACCCAATAGGCGAATCAGTATGTTTAAAGCCAAAGATGTATTCAGTCCTTCCAGCAGGCCATGATCCTAAAACTCCCGGTGACCCAGATTCTGAAGACCCTAAAAAGAAGCATGGTATTCAAAAGGCAAAGGGTGTTAAGAAATGTGTAGTCAAAAGGGAGCTTCGGCATGATAGATTTCTAGAATGTCTTAGGAATAAGAAACTAACTCGGCATGATATGTATGGCCTTCGTAGTTATGATCATCAAATATATCTGGAGAAGGTAAATAAGATAGGGTTAAATCCATATGATAACAAGCGCTGGATCTTACTTGATGGGATTCGAACACTCCCCTATAGACATTGGCGAATTGGACTTTATAAACGCCTGTCAGCATCTGAAATATCTCCTGAGGAAGCAGAAGAAAGGGCTATGAAAGCTAAACTTCGTGTCAAGTCATAGATGTTTTTATAACTAATATTTTTTCGGATAAAAAAATTCTAAGGAATATATTTTCATTAATTAAAGTTTTTCTATTGTTATAGTAGAAATATACAAAAAATGGTTGATCATAAGGATATAGAACTTGCGCAAGTTAAAGTCATAAAAACAGCATTGCGAAAAGGCAGAAAATATGATAATCTTGCGAAAAATTATGGAGACTATCTAAAGAAATTGCGAGCTGAAAAGGATCCGAATAACTATATTAAGACACTTGCAGTAAAAATGTTTCCTAAGGAAGAAGCATATACTGAAAGGCTAGAAAATTATCGCAAAAGGTATGAAGATAATGATCTATATGCCAGTCTAGAGGAATTATATGAGCTTTATTATCATATAGCTAAGGAGGAGAATCGCGAAAGATCAGATGATGAAATAGAGCAGATGCTCAAAGAAATGGCAATCTAGTGAACGGCACATACATGCAAACAGGAAGGCAAGTTACAGCGCTAAGATAATATTATAGATATTGTTAATGCACAATAAATATTCAGTTATTTTTTTTCCTGGATATAGAAAGAAAATGCCTTCTAAAAAATACTACACATATTCGGAAAAAGAAAAGATAAATGCTATTCAAGAGATCAAAGACTCCATTATAGCATTAGAACGTGATGTAACAAAGATACATCAAAATCTTAAAAACATTGGCCGAGAAATCTATTATCTATATGATGCTATGTCAGATCCCTTCGAGACCACATCATTCTCTGAAACATCTGAGTTCAGTTCACCCGAAGAAATTATAGAGGAGATAGTTGTAACCAAAGGAAAGAAAGACAAATGCTATAAACCAAAAAAAAACCAAGCGATTTAGTCCTTTGGGACCTCACAAAGAATAGGGTCTGGACTAGTGGATGGGTGGGACTGTATACAATATCATTTTATAACTGAATATTTTTTCTAGTAGTTTTAAAATGGCAACTGAAATAACTGGTCTAGAGGACATTATAGATAGTACAAGTAAAAATATAAAAAAGGTTTTCCAAAATGGCGTTAAACCTGAAGACAAGCAAGAGGTATATATAATCGGGCTTAAATTAACATTGGACAGACTAGCACGAGAGTTAGAATTTGTGCAAAATAATTATCAAGACATATCTGCCAATCGGATTAATTGAATCGGATAAATTATCATGTATGGCTAAGAAATCGAGGAATAATAGGCGCAAGACCGCAGGTAAGTTTACTACTAACCCTACACAGTATTTGCCATTATGCAATCCGACCAAGTATGACCACATATATGATAGGGCAACTGGCATTATCACTGTCAAGAATATAAGACAGGATAGGATTGTAGGCGTGTTTGATTATCCCGAACTGAGCGAATATCTGGCAGTCCGATCCAACTAGCCCGGAATAGTGATCTTCAGCTTGGAAGAATTTTTTCCGATTGAAAATCTCTGAATCATATAAAATGCATACAGTTAATTTACTTGATCAGCTTGTGCCTGAATTAATACCCTTTATTCTAAAGAATTTATCGATACAGAAACTTAAAAAATGTTGTACTATAAATAATATATGGAAAGATGAGGCGTTTCGAGAAATTCGCAAAAGATTGATAGTGGACTGTATATTTGATATTGACAAAGTAACTGTTAAGGCATTAATTGATCCTAAATCCTACTATAGCAGTATTAGTAAGGCGCTTGTCAAAAAAATGGATATATATATTTCTAGGGAAGGAGGATCTGGATTTCCTGCAGTAAAAAGACTTGGAATCGGTGCAACAAATGCTGGGAAGAAAGTGATGGTAAGAGGATGGCTTCAAAGAGAAAATGTTTCCGTTACTTTGCCAAATATATTTGATGGATTAAAACCTCCTTCATATTTAGGAATGGATACAGAAACTTTCGTAGTTGTGGATAAGCCTGAATATGATTTGGTTTTAGGTAATAATTGGCTAGTAAGATTGGGATATAGGATTGATAAACGTGATGCAAGATATTGGGAAAAGGATGAAGAGAAAAGACTTTATTATACAAGAAATGACATTGATATACTATCTCCTTCGTTATATACATTCTACGAATTGTTATACCCTGATTTCACTACAATTAATTCAGATGGGGAGGTCATAATAACCAAGTTTTTCAGACATTATACGGCTATGGACAACCTTGATCTAAGTGAGTATTATGATTCAGAATACTCTGAAACTGAATCGGAGGATGAATATGACTATACACTCTATAGTAATAATATGCCTCTCCGTTTAAGGTACTCTGACTAGTCCGGAGCAGTGATCGTTAGCTCGGAAGACTTAGCACAGATTTCTGCGCAATGATGTAATAGCCGATCACCCAAACGAAGTGGCAGGGTCTGTGCGACATAATAATTTTCGTATATTAATTTCGAAAATATATATGCTAACCAGTATCTTATTTTTTCCCAAACCAACATGAGAAAAATGTGAAAGGAGGTCTAGTTGCAACACAGAACCAGCTCTAAAAGTAAATATTGACGGCAAAAGCATATGTTGTGAAAGGCTGGTGGACACGCAATTCCGAGATCGCCAGGCGTAAAGCTACTTTGAGTCTTTCCGGTAGATCTATATGTGAAAAGGTTTGAAAATTCCGTTGGCATATGCTTTTATAGAGTTCTTGGCATCATACGACAATACTAATTGCGTCTTATATCTCCTTAACTTCAGCTAGGCGCTTTTTTTCCTTCCCAACAGCAAGATATAAAGCATGTAGGGGTATGTGGAAGTTCAGCCAACTTTCCGCAAAAATATTTCTGTAAAATAGTTTCACTAGCGTAGCTAACGCAAAATAAGGTATGTACAGTATATGCCAGAAGTTATGTATGTATGAGAGCGAGTTTTTCTAACCATGAGTCCTTGGAAACAGGAACCAGACAATGGCCAATACTTTAACTCTTAATTGCCTTGTTATCCCCAGCGCCGAGCTCGAAAGTGTAACAAGACATAGTATTACTACGCTTAAGATCTCTACTAACGAGACGGTTGATCAGTTAAGACCTATGATTAAGGAAAGGTGGCCATCATTATTTGAAAATATTCTTCCTACCAACTTTATTCTTCGCAAGATCGATACCGGAGTAGTTATATCTATTTTCGATCAAATTAGACAATATAATAATGGGCAAGGCCAAAGAGGAGAAGAAATATTCCCATATCAATTAATTTCTAGGCATTTTCCCCAGCAACCTCCTAACGATAAAATTCATATTATTGTAGAAATTTGAATATTATAGAGCATCATGTAGCGGTATATTCGTGCAAAGTGCCTTAACGGCCAATTTTATGTATTGTAGGCCGACTTGGTCCCTAGGACCCTTCTGGCAACGTTTTTTATTTCATAAATAAAGTATTATTATTGTACTGTACATGAGAAATGGGTCACGTGTAATGGTGCGGTCCATGTAATATCAGGACTAGTCGAAGACGCTAAAGCATAAAATCTAACATTTTTTATCCGAGCCTATATAAAAAGCGTAGTACTATATCAGGCGATAAGTGAGAAGAGTCTTCACGGTTAGGAGGCGCAGTGATTAACCATTAAGGCGCTTCGCAGGCTATTGTTTCACCTATGATGCAATGTGGCCGATCATACGGCAGGCTTGTGAAACAGAATAATTTCTCACATATACTAGGCCTCCAGTATTTTTTCGCAAATAAAATTCTTTTTTACTCTTGTCCTCACATACCGCACTTTGAGCCAATAACATTTCGCAAAAAAAACTATATAAGCCGAAAACATGTCTATCACTTTACTATGTCTCGTCAAAGGAAATACGACCGCTAGTACCTTTGCCGTAGATATTGATAGGGAAAAGTTGGTTAGCCACCTCAAGGACGCTATAAAAGATAAAATAGTTGTTCCTACTGGTTTCAAAGCGAGGGACCTAAAGTTATGGAAGGTGACGATCCCTAGCGATCAGGACGATCAATTAAGAAATCTAATACTCCAGGACAGTGACGAGCTGTTGGCAATAAGAAAAATTTCGAAGTACTTTTCAGACTCATCTCCCGAAGAACATATCCATGTCATCGTAAAATTGCCACGTAAGTGTCTGGTACAGTCTGTGCAAAGTGCCTTAATGGCTAATTTTTCGTCATTTGCCTTCACAATATTAACACGTATTCGTTTCCAGTTCTCAGCTTGGAAGAGGCGTTGTCGTGTATTCCGCCACCCGTAACATATTCTCCGAAATGTACTAAATCAAAGACCACTACAAAGGTCAATGGCGACCCACCAACAAGAGTACTTCTATGGGGGGACTTTTTTGAGCAAGTGAATCAATTCCGCTTCGACCAACAACCGAGATTCGAGAGACCGCAGTTTATCTAAGATAAAGAGATAGTTAATGAGGAGGATGTTCGGTTTGCTATTGACGCCAATATTTGTATGGTGTTAAATAGGCTTATGGGACTAGATTATAATTTTTCTAAGCGTCCAACTCATACTCCTGGCATACCGGATTTCACTTGCCACTATCTCATAGAATCATTGATCTTGGTGATTGAGGCTAAAAGAAAGCATGTTTTAGAAGATATCAAAGATCAAACTTTTCCCGACTTTTACCAAGCGGATGAAAAGGCAAGAATGGTGATCCAACAAATCTACAATTATATGGGAGAAAACGAACTTAGATATGGTATTCTTGCCACTTACGATAATCACTGGTTTCTACGCCGTGAGCATACAGAGCTTTGGATCTCAAAAACCATTCCATTGCAATCAGAATCTCCACCGGTGCTTAAGGCATATGCTTATCTAGCCCAACAAGCAAAGGAGGAACCTCAATCCCTTAATCCTCTCCGAGTTCCAGTACTAGCTCACAGGGATAATAATTCACGCGTTCTTCGATCACAGTCAAAAAACCAATCGGTTAATCAACAAACAACTTCCAGCCAACAATCATCTTCTGCCTTTGGCACTTCCAGCAACATCCCCGTAGACCAGCAAAAGTTTAGCTTTGCGGATTTCAAGTTTAAGAGCATACTAGGTGAGGGACGCAGTGGTAAAACACTGCTGTGCGAGTTTCGTGGCGATACAATCGCTTTGAAGAGTGTGGACTTATCGAAGGCCCCATCGTATGTCCTGGAAGAAATGCAAAAAGAAGTAGAGATTTATAAAGATCTAGCTGATATTCAAGGCAAGTATATCCCAAAGCTGGTCTGTTATGGATATTATGGAGGAGGTATGAGCTTCGTTATCGGCTTGACCATTGTTGGCACTATGTTGAGCGATCAAAAAATAAAGAAACGACAAAGGTCAAGAGCTATTAAGGGCTTAGAAGCGATCCACAAGCATGGCATCCTCCATAATGACATTCGGGAGGAAAACGTCTTAATTAATGATAATGGTGACGTCTATCTGATTGACTTCGGTATGGCAAGTCGGGAGGACACAAAAAAGAAGAGAAAGCTTTTCGAGGAGGAACAGCTCAAATATTCTAACTTGCTAGATAGGTATAATGCGTAAGAATTTATTATTAACAAATTCCTGTATTGCGATTTCTTGTAACTCTAGTTTCTTATCATTAATAAATATGTTCTTATAACAGACATTTCGTAAAGAACGCGGGGCGAATTTCCAAGTCACGTAAATGTCAGGTGGTTAGTTAGACTGTAGGATTAGACAATAGCATAGAAAAAATCAACATTTATCACGGGCAAAGTCCCGAACATTTGTATTTATTTTTCGCATGTAATAATAAAAAATTTTCTTGGCAAATTTCAGCGAACTCGGTTCGCCCAAAATCACATGATATTTTTTATTTTGAATGCTTATATACAGTTTATTAGTTATATATATATAGATCATGTCATCTGAGCTTGAAGTATTGAAACAGCGTATCACTGAACTTGAGGCTGAGAATGTTGTGATTGCAGAGCTCAGGAAGGAGAATGCAGAGCTTAGGAAGGAGAATACTGAGATCTCCGATCTTAGATTCAAGCTCTCAGTGTCTGATGCTGAAATAGCTGAACTTAAGCGTAGAAATGCCGAGGCTCTAAGAGCGAATGCGGAATATAATGAGATGCGTGATGCCGAGAATACCAAACTCAAGGCCAGAATCGAGGAGTTGGAGAAAAACAAGGAATATTCTTCAGCCGAGAATGTTAGGCGTGATGTTGAAATTGCTGAGATTAAGGCTGAAGTAGTGAAACTAGCCGAAGGTGCTCAGGCAAGAGACGATAACGAAGAAAGCAAACAGTTAACTTCCCGTCAATCAGAGGTTATTTCTAAAGAAATGATTTCAGGATATGATCAGGATACTATAGGTGAGATAGAGCCTCAAAACTCTGTTTCCTCGAATACTATTAATCTGGCATCGAATGTATATGAGAAGGAGGATGTGAGTGATCATGCTTTAGTGCCTTCGGCTAAATCATCGGAGGAAAAAGAGACAGATGCTTTCTTGAACGAGGTGGATAAGAAAATGATTAGTGACAGGATTAGGCAAAGGAATAGAGAGAAAAAACTTCAGCAAAAAAACGAACAGGGTTTGATTCAAGAAATTAATTCATCCATGAAAGAAAAACACATCCTCTCGGCTGTGACTGAAATTTCAGCGAACCAAGTTCGCCCAAATTCTTTAGCAGAGAGAAATGAAGAGCGAGCGGTCCACCCTGATATTATTAGTCTATATGAAACCGCATGCGATGCAGAAAAGAAAGCAATCGAAGCCAATAGAGAAGAAACTTTGCGTTGGTGTTTCTATGCTAGAGAATTCAAGCGCATGTATAAAGATTTTATGGTCAGCAACAAAGTTGGGGAAAAGAAAGCGAAAGGTCAGGTATACGATTTTATTATCAAACAACTTTCCGATACTAAACGCAAAACTTTATGTAGGCAAACACAGAAAGCTTTGAGAATTGACGATTTATTCGAAAAAATAGGAATGGACAAGCTTCAATACATAAAAACATATAGTGCGGATACTATTTCGAAATTTACTGATCCTCAGATTCAAACAATTATAGATCACTTCACTGAAAAACCCAATATGGAATTCACTGTTGAAGCCGAGGATGAAGAACAAGATGCCGAGGTCCCAGAGAGACCCGATCAGAATAATGTATCAGAGGTACAAGTGAATCTATTGGATTCAGCTAAGGCAAGTGTATCAACCGCACCTATTCCTTCAACTCATGACTCTAATTCTTCAAGTGATTCCTCTGGGACCGGTTCAGGTAATTCGTCCGCACCTCAAATCGATCTAGCTATGGCAGAGCTTCATATTGACTGTGATGATGTATTTGATTGTGATCCACCAGAGAAAGGAACGAATGAAGAGGTTGCTTCACAATCAAACAAGCTAGATGGTGATAACGATTCTGACAATGATTCTGAAGAAGAGATGCCAGATGAATCGGATGATGATGGATATGGTGGATACGGTGGATATAATGAATACGGTGAACGTGATAGAGGTTATTACTATCGTGATGGAAGATATGAAAGGAAAACCTCCCCAATGATGAGTCCTATTATCTCTCCGGTAACCGCCTAGGAGACCTATTGGGTGAATTGCATACTCGTATAGACTGAATTATCGTCTTTTTTTTTCGAATCACGTGGGTGGCTTATCCAAAAGAGACTGCGGTATTCTAAACCCGATCACCTGAAATGTGCAGAAGATATTCGGTAAAATTCTTGCCGAAAAGCATCGAAAAAATAATTATGTATAATAGCCTAGACGTCATGTATCATGGGCAATGTCCCGATCTTGTATTTATTTTTCGCATATGTTAATAAAGCAGTTTTACATTTGCCACGTAACATTGAATAATTCTTTCGTGTATGAAAATATCATCTATCATGTCATCTGATCTTGAGGCATTGATCACTGAGCTTGAAGCTAGAATTTTAAAACTAGAGCAGGATCAGGCAGAAAGAGATGCTAGAATTTTAAAACTAGAGCAGGATCCGGTAGAAAGAGAGGCTAAGAAAAATCGCAAATTCCAGACTAGATGTATCCAGATAGCTAAGAAAATCCTTAATGAGGAACCTATGATTGAATATCGCCCTCCTTTCCTGAATGGATTAGAGCTTGATGCTTTCTTCCAAAAATATCGAATCGGGTTGGAGGTGCAAGGGGCTCAGCATCGGCTTCATAGTACTAGCTGGTATAAAGATGTTAAGAAACTCGAAGACATTGTTAATCGTGATCGGCGAAAACGATGTATTTGTCAAGATAATAGAATTTCTCTTCTTGAAGTATGGTACGATGAAAAACCGGAAATCGTTATCCCTAAAAGGGTACAAAAAATTAAGGAGTTTGTCTGTCTAGTATCCAAAAGTTTTGATATTCAGACCATATCCTATAAAACATTAACCCCCGAATATCTGGATTGGTATGCCAAATTGACTGGTTTACCAAGTATTTTGACAGATAAGTTTCGATCCAAATTATACAAAAGATATAAAAAACAAACTGGAAATGAGCCATGGTAATTACCAAAAGCTGTGAAACAAACCTCAAGCCTCTGATTTCAAGCCTATCACCTTCGAAGCGAGACCCGATCCAGAATTAATTATCAATCCGTCTTAGAGCACTTCCCATACTTGAAATTCCGAAATAGTTTTAGAGGGATTGATAATTATGATTTTACATCACCTCAGCCGTGGAGCTCACCATGCCCTATTTGCGATGGAAAACATGGAAATTATGGATTACATGGCTCATGGTATCTCAAAAATGGGAATCAGTTACCTTATGATCCTAAATTAGCGAAATTGTGTTCCCAAGATAAGTTAGAATATTGTCTTACTTGCTTCACTTCAGGCAATAAACTTAGGTTCGCAATTGTAGCATAGAAGCTTTATGTACTCTCGCGCTTGTATTTATTTTTTTTACCGCCTGCATTTATTAATAAAGCCGGTTACCGTGAAATATTCTCGTTTATCACCTGATATGTAAAAAACTGACGCGTCACGATCTGACAGACATCTTTATTAAGATAGTTGCGTAACTGATCAACTGATGAGTCAGATCAATCTGTGCGACAATCGATTTCTCATAAATATATCCTCTATTCGTGTTACTCTTTCAGCAAATTTTTCTTTTTCTGAACTGTACAACTGGTTACCACATTTGTTTTTCGTATAAAATAACCATGTCCCACAACATTGCAAATACAAGTACTTCTACGAGTGCTCCTACGGCTAGTCTTCCGACAGTTGAAGAAATTAATGGATGGGATCGAGATAGGGTTAAGAGATTTTTGCAAGCGAAGAGTACTGAATTGGAGCTTGAAGAAAATGATATTGACATAATATATAGTAAGAAGGTCTCCGGTAAAGCCTTCCTTCGTTTGACTGAAGAACAACTTACTCGTGTTCCTGGCACCTTTCAACTGGACTATACACCGGCTTCAGCAATCGCAGAATTGGTTAAACAAATCAAAGGAGGTAAGCGAACTTCATTCTTGCCCACACCGTGTCATATCCGCCAATAATACCGAATACTTACTTATTCTTGTGCTTTTCTTTCCTGCTTCTTATCGTCAAACCCGCCCAAAAAACACATTCGCGTTATCGTAGAGCAAACCGTTTCTAGTGGTAAGTCATAATAAAATTAGTCAACGCGAGTGAACGCGTTTTGGCTTGATATCTGCACTCATATAATTCCGAACTTATACTGAACTTATACTGCTATTTTGCCTTTAACATTGCTAGTTTCCGCAGAGTCTTCTAAGCGACAATATTTGGTTGATTACGAGGAAGGTTAGCATTATAGCATGTGCTTGTTTCTGCGGAATTTGTTGTCTTAACTAATATTTTCTAATCTCTACAGAACAGAATAGAAACGTGAAGAGGATTCGAAAATATCCTTCCCCATCATCTTTCGCTCACATCAATTATTTGTATGATCATGAGTTTATCATTTATCGCCCTTCTAGTTGTGTCGGCACACCATTGATATTATATAATTCTGCTTTTTCTCAGTTCAAGGAAGATTTTAACAACGAAAAGCTACCTATGAGTAAGGAACATAATCAATGGACCCTAAATTGCATTAAAACTATGTCAGATTTTTATTCGGATGAGAAACTTCGTCAGAAAGAGTTTCATGAAATCATTCGCGAATTATTTAGCAAAGATGTAAAGGTAATTCAGCTTGATGATAATAGTTCAAACGATGGAATCTTGGAATTAGATTTTCATACATATAGTGTATTATTCCTCCTCATTGAGATAAAAAACGAAATTGGCACTGGTAGATGTGATCCAACTACCCAGGCGGCGGCTTCCTATGCAA